GCTGTCCCTCAGCTCTTCAGCTCAAGGCTAGCACTCTACCACTTGAGCCACAGCACCACTTCCAGCTTTTTTCTTTTTGCTTATGTGGGGCTGAGGAATCAAACCCAGGGCCTCGGGCATGCAAGGCAAGCGTTCTACCACTGAGCCAACTTCCCAGCCCTGTACATCAGTTCTATAGTAACTTGTTTTTTTTTTTTTGGTCAGCAGTGGCATTTGAACTTTAGGCCTACGTGCTGTCCCTGAGCTCTTCAGCTCAAGGAGAGCTCTCTATCACTAAAGCCACAGCACCACTTCCAGTTTTCTGGTGGTTACTTGGAGATTAGAATCTCATGGACTTTCCTGCCCGGGTTTGATTTGAGTGGCTAGTATTGCAGGTGTGAACCATCAGCACCTGGCTAAAAAAAAAAAAAAAAGAAAGAAAATTTAAAGGACTTTAGCTGGGCACCAGTGGCTCAGGCCTGGTAATACAGGAAGCTCAGGAGGCTGAGATCTAAGGAATGAGGTTCAAAGCCATCTCATCTGAAAAGTCTGTGAGATTATTATCTCCAATTAACCACCAAAAAAAGCCAGAAGTGGCGCTGTGGCTCAAGTGACAGAGTGCTAGCCCTGAGCAAATAAAGCTCAGGGACAGTGTCCAGACCCTGAGTTCAAGCCCCAGGACTGGAGAAAAAAAAAACCTAGATAAATAAAGGCTTAGGCTTTGATAAAAAAAAAATGCATAATAAGAACTTGATACTGGTGGTTCACACCTGTAATCCTAGCTATTTAAGAGGCTGAGATCTGAGGATCGGCTCAAAGCCATTACAGGCAGAAAAGTCCATGTAACTCTTATCTTCAAAAACGACTCAGAAAAAGCCAGAAGTGGGGCAGTGGCTTAAGTGGTAGAATGGTAGCCTTGCACAAAAGAGGCTTGATTGTAGTGGTTAGGACCTGAGTTCAAGTCCCAAGACTGGCAAAAAAAAAAAGGATAATATGCTGAGTACCAGTGGCTCACATCTATAATCCTACCTACTTAAGAGGTAGAGATCAGAAAGACTGTAGCTCAAGGCTAACACACACACACACACACACAGAGAGAGAGAGAGAGAGAGAGAGAGAGAGTTTGCAAGTTAGCAAAAGTGGCTGGAGTGGTAGCATGTACATTTCATCCAAGCTACAATGGAAAGTATATATGGAAAGATCATAATTCAGGATAACCTGAGCAAAAAAACAAGACTCTTAAAACCCAGAACAAAGACATGCATGCCATGTGTAGGAGCGAGGATGAGTAATGAGTATAGCCAGCAAATAGTGAAGCAGCAGAAATGCCTAAGCCTTGCCACCACATCTCCAGACTGAGCTTTGAATAATCTAGAGTCTGGTTGTAAACTGCCCCATGGAGAGGGTCATGTGGTAAAAACCAATAGCCAACTGAAGCCCTCAGTCTGGCAGCCTGTAAGAAAATGAATGCTGCCAATCCTGAGAGCTTAGACACTGAGCCTTCCCCAGTCCAGTCTTGTAAGAGAATCTAGTCTTGACCCACAGCTTGATTATAACCCAGCACCTGGACTCGTAAAATGAGAGAGATCTGTAGCACAGGCTGGCCTCATACTTGCTGTGTAACTCAGGCTTGTTTTGAACCAACGATAGATTCTGCTGGAATAGCAAGTGTGTATCACCACAACCAGCATGAATTTTCATTAGAAGGAAAATCTGGCCATACAAAAGGACAACTAATCACTCCAGTGCTGAAGCAGATGTCCAGAAACTCTGATGTGGTAGCGGGCTGCCCCAGAAGCTAGATTCTGGACACACTAGACCTCATTTGGCTGTGTCTGGTTAGTTGACTGCTTGCTAATATATTGGTTTTCAATCATTTGCCAATTATCATTCTGCATTCTGGGCTGGTGTAGATTTCACATACTCTTGGAAAGCAGTAGCATGGAATTCTGACACTCATTCCTCCCATGATTATGTTTCTGAATCCTCTGAGATCATAAGCCAAAGTGTGTGGAACATGTGCTGCAGGGAGATTTCATTGAAATGAAGACAGATTTCCACTGCCTCAAATTCCCTTTAGTCTAAGAAATATCCACATTGTATTAAGCCTGGCCAATACTCATGAAGAGGAGCTCTGGACCAGTGATGTCCCTGAACCCTCCAGTCCTAGAGCAACTGGAAGAGCAGGTTACATTAAGGCCATTGTTAACTTAGTGGCTCCCTGATCAGTGTCAGCAAATATGGTCAGAATAGAGCTAATTCTGCATGGAGTAAAGACCTGAAGACACTGCTAGTGGACAGCTAGCTGTGTTTCTTGGTGTTTTCTGAAGGGCAGTTGGAAGTCTGGTAGAAACTCGTGACCACAGATGTGTGGTGGAAACCAAGAAAGTTGACTTGCAAAACTGGGCACCTAATCCAGCAAGAGCAGGTCCTAAACTGAACAGATTTGTAAAGAGATGGAGCTGTAGGACCAACTTTCATATAACTCTGCCCATTCCACCTGGATCACAAGATTCTGTCCACACCCCTACTTTTTCATATTTCTCTCTCACCAATGGGATATAAGAATGGGGGCCATATCCACATTCCATGCTACCTCGTACCACTGCTATTCCTTCTGTTGGCTTATACCACTACCAGCAGTTGAGGGAGGGTGTTAAGTGGTGAGTGAGAGATTTTGAGGTGATTTTGGAGATATAGCAGGCAGTAGATATAGTTGGTTGTGATTGTGAGAATAGAGGAAGTTTCAGAGCCTGGGAATGTGGCCCCCTCACCTTTGCTGTTCTAGTGCTGGGATGTCTGAGCAAACAAGATGAAAAAAAATAGCTGCAGGAAAGAAACTACTACAAGAATACCAGCAGAGAAATTGTACTGCTAGACCTACAGAATCCAAGAAAAAGAAGAAAACTAAGAAAGACAAGACAAACACTACTGAGGACTGTACTCAAGGGTGCATCCCAAGACCACGCAGACCCTGAGCCTCCCGCTCCACCCGAGCTGCTAGGGTCAAGAGTGTCACGGGTCCCCATAACACTGAAGATCTGGAGAGGGGCACCTAGTGCTTGCTCTGGACTCCAGCAGAATACAAAACCAGCAGCCCTGGAATGAGATCCAACAACTGAAGCAGGTAAAGAAAGACCTGCAGGAGGGGCTGGGAAGGTTACTCAGTGGTAGAGCGCTTGCCTTGCATGCATGAGGCCCTGGGTTTGATTCCTCAGCACCACATAAGCAAAAAGAAAAAAGCCGGAAGTAGCGCTGTGGCTCAAGTGGTAGAGCACTAGCCTTGAGCTGAAGAGCTGAGAGACAGCACCCAGACCCAGAGTTCAGGCCCCATGACCGGACCAAAAAAAGAAAAAGAAAAAGAAAGACCTGCAGGATCAACAGGGGAAAGTGTACAGGAAGCACTGAAAGCTAAGCTGGAGCTCCACAAGCTATCAATACAGATGTTGGTTTCAGAAAAGTCTGATTGACAATCTTCCCTGGCCATATGCAGTAAGTGGCCAATGAAAAGGTACTGGAATGTGAAGGTCTTGCCAGCCACCTGCAGGCTTCACAGCAGCGCAGCACAGACCTAGAGGTGACATTGTCTGAAGTCTCCACCATGCAGAATGAGATCAACAAGAACAAACTAGCACTCATTAAAGACCTGAATAATGTAAAGCTGCAGCTCCAGAAAAAGACCAGAAGCTATGATGACCTAGAGGAAGAGAACACTGAGCTGCAAGACAGAATGGAACTACTTCTGACCCAGAAGGCTGACATGAAGATCAAAAATCATGAATTACAGCAAGCACTAGAGGAGCAGACAGAGTTGGAAAGACAGCTAGACAACATGAAAAAGTTGGTGACAACATTAAAGTTGGAGAGAGACAACTTTGATGAAGATCTGAGAGTATAAAGTTCCACGTGGAAAAGGAAGGTTCAGCAGCTGTTAGAGCAGACGAGCCAAATGAGAGCAGAGAAACAGCAAGAGGTGGGGCAGGTGTTGGACCTAGAGACCAACCTGGTAGAACTGAGAAGGCAGCTGGCAGAGCTGCCACCCCCCCGCAGTCCCCTGCAGGACCCTCTCAGGCTGAGCAGCAGCTGCAGTTCCAGGCCAACCAGATGCAGAAGGAACTAAAGAACCTACAGGAACAACCTGACATCCAGATACAGGAAAACCAGAGCCTCAGTCTCCAGAACCTGTAGCAGCAGGAACAGCTGTGGATACTGGAGAAGGCTGAAGAATGGGATCAGCATGCTGAAGATCAGCACGAGATCCTTGAGACAATGGAGAGAGAACATGAGAACATGAGATGCACACTTGTGCACAACCGAGAGCTAAAACATCAGCTGGGTCAGCTATAGGATGCTTTCCACAGGCTGAATAAGAAGAGGGAGATTGCTAGCATCCTGCACTCAGACCAGCAGGCAAATAATTATCTGCAGAAGAAGCTGGAACCGCAAGAGGAGAAGTTAGAAGAATAGAAAGAGATGGCCGAGTTAAAGAGCCACACAGCTCAGAATCTGCAGGAATTGCATGACCCGTACCTGGCCCAGCTGCAGGAGCTCAGAGCCACCAGTGAATGGCACATTGTGGCCAATCAATAGCTGACCCCAGAAAAGGAGGCCCTGCAGCAGCATCTGCTAAGGCAGAACCAGTTGCTGGAACAGCAGGAGCAGGAGCAGTTTCGGGGCAAGTTGGGGGACCAGACAGAGCCACAAGTTACAGAATGCTCTGAAGTGCCTGGAAGCAACAAGGCATGAGAATGAGCAGCTGCAGGCCCAGCTGAGCCTCCTGGATTTCCCTAGGGAAGGTGAAGAAGTGAACAACAAGGAAGAAAAGGGTGAGGAGGCAACTTCACCTGACATGACTGTCCCAGAAGATGTTGACAACCCACAAACCCTGAGGGATTTTTATCTTGAAGTGCTATCAGTTGCTGAATCAAAAAAGATGAAACTCAGCTGGCAGCTTCAGGAGCAGCAGGCCCACTACTGTCCCTGGCCAACCTGGCAGCCCAGTGCCAGTTAAAGATGGAGTCCCAGGCCCTCATTCCCAAGAGCTACAACATGTCAGGTCTGGGGACAAGAAGCAGGACACACAAGTACCCAAGAAGAAGTTGAAAATCTGCTTCACCCCCGACTTTCCTGACAAGGTGGATTACCAGAATCAAACAGATGACCTCCAACATCCATGCGGCCAGCAGTAAGAGCACATCAGCACCACTGAAGGGTCCATGGTTTTCTGTAAAGAACAGATGGAAGTCCTGGATGAATTGTATCAGGAGAAAGACTAGTGTGTCAACCAGCTGGGCAGGAGAAGAGGGATAAAAACAGGGAGCCGCAGGAGCTGCTGTTGCACCTTGCAGGTGAAGGCACAGAGTGCCAGGGCAAGAAGCCAGCAGACATCAAGACCCCTGCTGTTGAGGTCACCTTAGACTTGTTGGGTCCCACAATAATGAAAGTTATGGAGGAGCAGCAAAGTTGTGAAGAGATACAACTTGAAGACTAAGTGGAGGGCTGGGAAGGTGGCTCAGTGGTAGAGCGCTTGCCTTGCATGCATGAGGCCCTGGGTTTGATTCCTCAGTACCACATAAGCAAAAAGAAAAAAGCTGGAAGTGGTGCTTGGCTCAAGTGGTAGAGCACTAGCCTTGAGCTGAAGAGCTGAGGGACAGCGCCCAGGCCCAGAGTTCAGACCCCATGACCGGACCCCCCCAAAAAAAAACAGACTAAGTGGAGCCTGCCCAAGTAGAGGCTGGGGGGCCTTGCCTCTGGGAGAACCCCACCACAAAGCAGATGGTGCCACTGCTGCCCAATATCTAGTACCACCAAGAACCTGTAGCTTGGACACCAAGCCCTCTTTCCCTTTCCTCTCCAGATTGAGATAATTACTATCTAAAGACCTGGCAGCCACCACCTAGAGAAGGAAGCTCCTGCCCTTGTACTTGCGGAAATAGCAGCTGGATGGCATTCTTTCAGGCCTTGATATAATGGGAGATGAGAAGGGATAACTGTAGGCCAGGCAGGGCAGAGGCTACTGGGAGCTGGCCCAAACTCTAGAGACAACTAATAGCCCATTGGCTGACAGGGAAGGGGCCCATTTGATGGTTATTACCAAGAGTACATTCTTTATTTAAAAAAAAAGATGGTGAGCAATGGCTTAGTTTTCTATTAACACGCTGTATTAATGATGTTATTTTGTAAATTACTTCCATATCAACATACTCATTATTTTCAGAGATATTCTTACGCTGATTTATGGAGTCATTTTCATAGTTTTTCAGATTTTTAAGGAAAATTGTATTTTTTCCTCAAACGAATTATTGCCTATTTAACATTGTATGTTGGTGCTTCCGTGCATTTTTAAAAATTGTATTCTATACCAGCAACATTGAATTTTCTTGTTTGTATGTCAATATTTTACAATGGTTGTACACTGAGGTTAAAAAAAAGTACAAACTGAAAAAGAAAAAGGTCATTAAATTTTACCATTTGGGAAAAAAAAAACAGAACAAATGGAGGTGTTCTGTAGTGGAAAAACATACATCAGAGAAGTGCAGAAATGTAGCTCAGAATTATAGAATAATAGAACATCTATAGTGACAATATCAAGCATCTCAGTTTTTTACTTATGAATTGTTCAAGTGGTAAATGTGACATATTGTTCATTGAATCAAATAAAAGATTAAAATTAAAAACAAAAAACGGGTACAACCAGTCATATCTGTAATCCTAACTACTCAAAGGCTGAGATCTGAGGATTGAGGTTCAAAACCAATCATGGCAATAAAGTCTAAGAGACTCTTATCTCCAATTAACTGCCCAACAACAGAAGTGGAGCTGTAGCTCAAAGTGGAAGAGTGCTAGCCTCAAGCAAAAAAGCTCAGGGACAACTCCTAGGCCCTGAGTTCAAGCCCCATGATTGACCAAAACACAAAAAAATGTAATGATCAACCAAGGACAATAAGTTCAGCACAATGTAATAAATTCTCTTCTCTGGCAAGTACAAGAGGGTTATTAAGGAACTATAATTCTCTGGAAGTTTTAAGCAAGACTTTAAAAGTTACAAAATGGTCCCACAAAAAGTAGTTTATTCTTAAGATCCCAAGAGTCTGATGTCTGCCCTATGAGGGTCAGAATGGAACAAGGGGTGACAGCATCACAGGGCTCCAAAGGATAGTGTCTACATTTGAGCCTCATTCTGTAGAATATAGAATTAAGGATACAATTAGAATATAAATGATGTCGAGTTCTTTTTAAAAACCTGGGTCTAAGCAGGGCACAGAGTACCTATAATCCTAGCTATTCAGGAGGTGGAAATAAGGAGATAATGAGTCAAGGCTAGCCTGTGCAAGATTTCATGAGCGTCTACCTCAACTAATAAAAAAATCTGGATTTGGTGGCATATACTTGATTTTTTTGTGTGTGTGCTGGCCGTGGGGCTTGAGCTCTGGGACTGGACACTGTCCCTAAGCTCTTCAGCTCAAAGCGAGTGCTCTACCACTTGAGTCGAGCACCACTTCCAGTTTTCTGGTGGTTAATTGGAAGTAAGAGTCTCATGGAATTTCCTTGACCAGGCTGGCTTTGAACCACGATCTTAAGATCTCAGCCT